AAAAAAAAAAAGGACAAATTCATTTCCAGACCAATTGTTCAAAGCCACAGGAAGCCGGGGTTGAAGAGGTGCATATTACCTGAGAACTGTTACTGTATCATTACTGGGAAAAGATATGATGTCATCTGTTGTGAAGGATACGTTGGGACTCAGAGTAATGAGATAAAGCCTCCTGTGTTCCTGAGTTCCAAGCACAAAGAAGCAGGAAGTCAAGGCCATAGACATGAAGTTGGGAGGATTTCACTAAATGGCTTATGAGATCTTTGACCTGCTTTGACCTAGCAGAGGCTAGTTAGAAATAATGCTCTGGCTGTGGCTTGAATCTGGCTTGCAAATTAGACCAGGCAGGACTGTGACATAAACAGGAACATATAACACAATGAGGATATACTTTCTGAGTCCAACTTCCCTCTAATCCATTGAGGTTTACACAAAAGCATCAAGTGGTTTCTAGTTGGCAGAAAGATTATTATTCATGACATACTTCTAGACCCTGCACAAATAACATATGCACAACCTTTTTCCCACCAAAGCTAAGTATTGTGTAAACAGTACTAGTCTGCTATATGAAATGTAATGATGCAAAACGATGGGGAAAATCTCAGCAGTAAAGTCATTCCTTTCTTCATGGTTGCAAAATCATTTTCCTGTGGTACGGTTGTCACTCCCTCATTCTGAGTCACAAACACTGAATATTGCAGTCTCCTTCAACAGTCTCTACACTGAAGGCTGACATGTAGAGCTCATTCCATCTGTGTCCTTTGTGCTTTTGTGGTGTCTGAGCAAGATCCTAAGACTAACGTGCCTTGCCTCAACAGATAAATATTAACATTTTGCTGATTCTTTCTCCCACTCATTCTCTGATTCTGTAAACATAGTCTGGTAAGAGAAACACAAAGCAGCTTGATGAATGTGCATAAGCACTTATAGAGGAAACACCAGGACCAGGTTTTGAACACTTCAAATCTAATCTCATTCACTGCTGCTGCACCTTTTCTCTGCTCACAGTTCAAATTCTTTTAACTTCAGGTTGAAATGCAGACACTATATTCATTCAGCCTGACATTTTGTTCAAGATAGCCTTGTCTTGAAGAGGGGTAATTTTGTTTTGTTTTGCCCTCACCAATCAGCAGAGATTTACCCACCCTTCCCACCAAAGTTATTTTCAGTTGATCAGAAGCTGTGATTGCTTGGAGCAGTTCATTTTAAAGCTGTCCTCCAGTCAGAAATGTATTTCTTTCCTTGTTCCTACAGCCCACTATGCAACTTGTACAGTGTG